ATTTTTGTAATTTGCATCCTTAAAAAAATTCATTACTCATAAATATCGCTTAATCAGAAAGAAGGACACTTCAAACATAAAGCATTAAACATTTTTTAACACAAATATATATATATATATTAGATCATTAAGAAATTAATGTCATGCATAATAGTTAAATGAACCACTTAAATGTCACATTAATGTAGCCTATATAACGTGTAAAGTTTAGTATACTCTAATCCCTTATAGTGATGGCACATGATAAGACACATGTACGGCATTTAATGCTGTTGGAATACAAGAAGGGAAACAATGCCTCTGTAGCCACAAAGAAGTTTATAGAAATGTTTTGAATGTTTGTAAGTGTCAACGATGGTTCAGCAAATTTCGTTCAGGTGACTTTAGCCTTAAAATCTGTGATGTTGGAATTGATATTGATGCTCTGAAGATGCTTGTTGAATCTAAACCAAGGCAACATACTCATGAAATGGTCCTGAAATTGCATGTCTCTCATGAAACAATACATAAACATCTAAGGAACATGTGAAAACTCCATAAATACAGTGTTTGGATGCATCACGAACTCTCTGATCATCGTTTCCAAAGTGTGAACATTGCTTGATCTCTTCTGGTGCATGAACCATTTTTGGACAGAATTGCCACTGGTGATGAAAAATGGATTCTCTATGAGAAACAATGGCTCAGTCCTAGGCAAAAACTACTACTGACCCCAAAACCTGGACTCCATCTGCAGAAAGTGATGCTTTGCAATTGGTGGAGCATAAAAGGAGTAATTCATTTGGAACTCCTCAATCCACAGCAAACTGTTAATGCAGAGATCTATAGTCAGCAACTGGAACATTTAAATCAAGCCCTTCATCAGAAATGCCCTTCACTCATCAATTGGAGCTGAGTTGGGTTGGGAAGTTCTACCCCACCCACCATAATCTCCAGATATGGCACCATCAGATTACCATCTTTTTTGTTTGCTGCAACATCATCGTAATGGGAAAATGTATGCAAATGTGGAAGGTGTTAAAGAGGACATCGTCATGTTTTTTTGCTTCAAAGCCAAGTGATTTCTTTAATCATGGGCATTAACAACTTGATTGTAAGATGGAAAAGCATCATCGACAAGAATGGAGAATATTTCGTTTAATAAATGTTTTTGTTTTGATATATAAGGTGTTCAGGTTTTTTCATCTAAAAAAAAAGCAAAATTAATATTTTGATGACCTAATATTTGTAAATTTACACTTTGTAATGAAACTGCTGTCCATTGTTCTATTACACAGTACACTTGTAACTCTAGATCCAAAAGCCAACTGTCGTGTGTCCTTGTTCTATAGGCTACAAACATTTTTCTGGTTCAGGACTGATTACTGTTTCTATCTTAATATTAATTGTACTGATTACAAAAAGAAAGTAATTTTCTCATATAAAGAGAAGTTTGCATTCAATATTAAGACCAATTCTTATATCTTTCCACAACTATTTTATTAGTTGTTATCGATTTCATTCCAACAAACATACTTTTGAATAGCAGCAGATACAGTCACTGACTCATTGTACTAGCTTGCTTGCTTTAAAGAAATTGTGATAAAATATATGTTGTTAAAACTATAAAAAGACAGTACTTAACTTACTGTATCTTCTTTATAGAGCTTATCAGGTATTATATTTAGAAATTATCTACAGCTGTCTTAAAAAAAAAGAACCTACTAATCTCTAAGCTCATGCTGAGATTAAGTCCATTATAAGACTGTTAGTTTCAGAGTACCTTTGCTGATCTATAAGGTCATGCTGGGATGAAGTCCATTATAAGTCTTTGTTTCAGATTACATTTGCTAATCTTTAAGCTCATGCTGAGGTAAAGTCCATTATAAGACTGTTTGTTTCAGAGTACCTTTGCTAATCTATAAGGTCATGCTGGGATGAAGTCCATTATAAGTCTTTGTTTCAGATTACATTTGCTAATCTTTAAGCTCATGCTGAGATAAAGTCCATTATAAGACTGTTAGTTTCAGAGTACCTTTGCTAATCTATAAGGTCATGCTGGGATGAAGTCCATTACAAGTCTTTGTTCCAGATTACCTTTGCTAATCTTTAAGCTCATGCTGGGATGAAGTCCATTACAAGTCTTTGTTCCAGATTACCTTTGCTAATCTTTAAGCTCATGCTGGGATGAAGTCCATTACAAGTCTTTGTTTCAGATTACCTTTGCTAATCTTTAAGCTCATGCTGAGATAATCTGAAACAAAGACTTATAATGGACTTCATCCCAGCATGACCTTATAGATTAGCAAAGGTACTCTGAAACTAACAGTCTTATAATGGACTTTACATTTGCTAATCTTTAAGCTCATGCTGAGGTAAAGTCCATTATAAGTCGTTGTTTCAGATTACCTTTGCTAATCTATAAGCTCATGCTGGGATGAAGTCCATTACAAGTCTTTGTTTCAGATTACCTTTGTTAATCTTTAAGCTTATGCTGGGATGAAGTCCATTATATGGCTGTTAGTTTCAGATTGCCTTTTCTATTCTCTACAAAATAAACAAAGAAGCAGGGAACTAATGAAATATGTTTCCTTTACATAATATAAAATATATATACATATATATATAGTTGAATTATTTGAAGCCATGTGACAAAAGAGAGGCTTTTGACATAATAACTAAAAGGTAGTGAGAAAAATACAATCTTGTTTCTCAGATGACACATTTATGACTTTTGTTAGCTTTAGAAGTTTGAAAATTGTAAAACATAAAGTACAGTTAAAAGTTACATTTTAAATGGCAAAATATTGGAAATCAATAAGACTAAATTTGTTATAAAAAATCGAATTAATTGCAGATGCATTTTTTGTCGCATTACTTTTAATTTGTTCATTATATGCTCAAAATCAAAAGTGTGTGAACAAATAGGTAGTTGAATTTTACCATTTTTCATGCAACACACTTCAAAAATTCATTGTTTTCAAATTGTTTGGTCTAGAAATAAGCAATAAAGATGTAAAAAAAACTTAGACCAGATTTACAAATATGTTGACAAGACTTATCTACATGGAACAAAATTTTATGTACTTTTATTCACTGCATAAAAATTACAGTTGGATGCAAAAAATCTAACTTAGGGTTAGTAGTTTGTATTTTTGTCTTAATTTCATCAGAACCGATGTCAACAAAATTATAAATTTTAACATTTAGTTATTGTTTTATTTTGAAAAATTAATCGTGCACAAGATGCTAGCCTAGAAAGGGTTAATAGTTGTCTTCAAAAGAATTAATATTTAAAGGCATCCTTAGATTAAAAATGAAGAGTTTCAGGTTTCGGTATTCATCAATGTACTTCATCACTGAGTTGCAGGATTTCGTTGACTGTAAGAAACATTGAGTACAATAATGATAACTCCAACAAAAAGTGGCTTAAACTGCTTTTTTTAAACTTAATTTTAGCAATTGTTAACTGATTGATTATTTTCCAAACATTGAACTTTTAAAAATATAATTTTTTGTACAGAAATATAGGTGAATTTTAAAATGTGAATGTTTTTGGTATTTAATAATATTATGTTAATGTAAGAACATATATTTTCAAAATATAGTACTTGTTATACTATTGTAAAATGAATTTCAAGGTAATACGCCTAGTGATTTGTGGCATTTGATGTTTGTACGTTACTATGAAAACTTAGCTTCTTTCAATCCTTAAATTAAAAAAATTTATATTGATTGGTTTTTTATTGACAAAAATTGGTTACTATTTGAAATCAGATCTTGAATATTTAGTAGAGTTGCTTCATGTAGGTTCTTTATTTAAGTTCAAGGGAAAATAAATAATTGACTTTGGCTTTTTAATTGTTTCTTCAGCCTCCATTCTGGGTCTCCTTTGGATGTGAGTGTAAAGGTAAGATGAGAGTATTATTCTCTAGGCTATAGATGTTTTCTGTAAACTGTTTAATCTATATTTAATATATTTTTTATTATATAATTATCAAGTGAGCATATTACCTATATGACTTAGATTTATGTAGCTGTTTGCATTTTTTATCCCTTGGTGGCACAGCATTAGAATTCAGGACTTGTAGCACTAACATTTGGGATTTGATTCCCTACAGTAGCTACAGCATGTATAGCTGATTATGTAGCTTTGTGCTTAATAACAAAACAGACAGTTTACCCTTTACTGCACCAGCTGGATTTTTAACGTCTGGTAAAGAAAAGGAATACACCATTGAAATCGTGTTAATTATGTTATAAGATCTTTTCTATATCTCAAATGAGTTGAGTGATCTAGAATGACTGACCAGCCACACAACCTCAGAAATATTACTCTCTAGCTATTTCTCAGTGATATAGCCCCAGGGAGGGCTGATCCCCCTTAGCAGGTTCCACAATACTCTATCCTATGGTAACATAAATAATTTGAACAATTAATCCATTTAATTTTCATTTATTTTTATTGACATGCTTTAGACATACAGAGTTGTAAAATATCTGATGCCAAATAAGATTTTCAGGTGGAAATCTAAATCTCATATCCTCCTTTCAGTTCATTCAGTAGAGAAATGTTATTAAATGATTTTGGAAGAATCAGAAGAGAGCTGTCAGATTTGGAGACAGTAAGATTATTAATCGTAATTACATTTGATGTTTAGAGCAAATTGGTTATTGGTAACATTATTTTTATAGTCAGATATGAAATACATCTAAACAATCTTAAAATATAACAATACTTTTATTAAAATTAGGCTCCCTGAATTTTCTTTAGCCCTCCCTAATCAATTATGCTGACTGTTTCACTGCTATTTCTCTTGAAAGCATATACATTGGGTTGTAGCAATCATGGATAGAAAAACATTACAGCTGGAGCTAAGAAATATACAAATTGGAAATAAACAACCACTAAAGTCAAATATAGTTGCTTAGTAATGACAAAGAAAAAATATTTCTCAGGGCCTTTCTCATTTCAATTTAGATGAAGTAAATAGTGGAAATAGCTTAGTACTGTTAAAAGATATTTAATGAAATTAAATTAATTTTTCCTTTAAATTTCTGAAAAGTGATTTTGTTTTTTACTTGTAGTCCAATAATCTTAAGACTTTAATGCATTGGCTCAAAATTACAGACCCTATGGAGTGAGAAGGCCTCAGTATTAGTGTTATACCATTATTGGCCATAAAGATTGGTTTGAATTTTTTTTTTTTCATGTATGGAATAATTATACTATAAAAATTATGTAATGCTCTGCTTGTTTTTTAATTGTTGAAATATTAAACATCAAAGGCAATATCTGTCAGAACAAACGTATGTCCAAGCTGGGACTGTTTGATATAACTGTTGCAGTGTGAACAGCTGGTATAATTGTACATGATAATCTAATGTGATTACTTGAACAACTTTTTATGATTTTTGGTTGTTTTAATCGTATTAGAGTTAGTGTCATAAAATCAAATTCACCCAAATGGTAAATCAGTTATATCTATAGAACTTTAGTTCCAGATAATGTTTGTGGATGTAATAATTTTACATTTAACAGAGTGAAGTAGTGAAGGACATGCTGAATACTGTTGGTTACAGAATCCCAGAAAAAGCTCTAAATTTGTGTATTCAACCATCAACATTAGCAAAATTTGGGTAAGTACACTGAATGTCATAGACTGCCATAAATATTTTTTTTATTTGTGTATTAACCTTTAGAAATATTTAATATGTTCTTCGGTTCATGGTTGTTATATACAGAGAAGACTTTGTCTTAAAGAACTTTATATTATATGTGTATTGAACAGTTTGATTTATATTATTTAGTCTTGTATAGTGCATTCCATTTACCAAACCATAAATGATTCAGTCAAAGGTTGAGAATAAACTGTTATGCAATGATAGGGCTGTGTTTAAAAATCATCATGTAAAGATCTACATAAAACAAATCTGTGAAACTACTCGAGCTTAAACTTAAAGATATTACAAGTGTTTTTGATATTCCGTTCATCTAGACACACGTTAGTGTGTCTTGCAGCCAAAAAAAAAAAAAAATCTGCAGGACACACTGTGTTATTAACAGGAGTGATAGTTTAGCGATTTTTTACCTTCTGTAGCTTGGACTGTGGTAATTTAAACTATCACATATTTTCAGTGGATGTGCTCTAATGAACTGTTACTTCACATACTAAATTTCAAAGTAATCCATTAAGAAATACACGAGATATATCGATTTTGATTGAGTTTCAGCTGTGTATGGCTAACAGTACAGAAGTTACAATGACACGACTCGTGCACTCATGTTACCATATCAAATAACATAAAAATGGCCTTTGATCTGTACAAAGTAACTTGTCTTGACTGTGTTTAGTAGACTAGTATTTGTTAAATATAGTCACATTTCAATTATTATA